TTGTTCCTTTTCACAGTCACCAATGGATGGGAGACTGTGATGAAATGGAAATTCAATGCAGTTTGTTGGCTTTGTTAGATAACTTTTACTAATATACATTGTATTATGTAAGTTAATGTAGTTTTTAGACTTTTTATGTGGATGCTGGGCAGCAAGGGAGGGTCCCTGGCCATGTTGACTCTTGGTGGCATAGACTGGCTCGAGGGATGTACAACATTATCTCACTGGTGGGTAAGGAGCCGGAGCTTGTGTGTGATGCTGAGCGGTACCAACTAGTTGGGCTCACCTCTAAGCACAGCTTGGGCTCTGGAACCCAACTCCATGAAAGGGACTGGACTTTCTCCTACTATGGAGTTGCCCAGGGAAAGACGCATTGGGTCGGTGTGGGGGTACTCACAAGCCCCCGGCTGAATGCCTCAGTGTTGGAAATATCCCTGGTGAACAAGGAAGTTACCTCTCTGCAGCTTTGTGCTCTGGGTTAGAAGGTTCTGACTGTGCGTATGCACTAAACATCAGTTCAGATTACCCAGCCTTTTTGGAGTCTCTGGATGGTGTCCTAGAAGGGGTGCCTCCTGTGAATTCCCTTGTTCTACTGGGTGACTTCAGTGCCCATGAATTGGATCTGATTGTGGGGGAGGCTGCTGGACAGACCTGGTAAACCACATGTGGGTGAACTGAGAACATCTAGTGGAATCCACTGTCTGTGCAATCCTGACACCTCCAGGAGAGTTTTTCACATGTCCCGGGGAGGTCAGGGACATGGAATTTGAATGGGCAAAGTTCAGGGCCTCTATTTCAGATGCTGCTTCCAGGAGTTGTGTTCTGCAGGTCATTGGTGCCTGTCATGGCGGCAACTAAAGGACCCACTGGTGGACACCAGCGGTGATGGGGCCTGTCAAGCAGAAGAAGGAGGTCTTCTGGACTTGGTTGTCCAGGAGGATTCCTGAAGTAGCTTACAAGGTGGCCAGAAGGTGGTTGTGGATGCCAAAACTCGGTCATCAGAGGATTTTGAGGAGGCCATGGAGAAGGACTTTCGGTTGGCCTCAAGAAGGTTCTGGAAAACCATTTGTTGACTCAGACAAGAAAAGTGCCCCCCTTCCCAGGTTGTCCTTGGTTTGGATGGGGAGTTGCTGACCCAGATTGAGGATATTGTTGAGTGGTGAAAAGAGCACTTTGAGGATCTCCATAATCCACACACCACGTCCACCTTTCAGGAGGCAGAGTCTGAGGACTTGAGGGAAAATGAGTATATTACCATAGCAGAGGTCAACTAGGTAGTCAGAAAGCTCCTCTGTGGCAGGGCACCAGGGGTGCATGA